CTACCACGTAAAAACAGTAACAGTCAGGAGTTCAGGAAATTGGCAATGTTTCCCGTGTCTCGAAGATCTCGTTTAGTTGTTGGTCCTGCGCCTGATCTCTCTCTGGTCGTGTCGGATTACCGTACCATCGGACTATGAGAGTGAGGGAATAGAGAGTGCTCCTGTGTTTGCGCATACAATCAGGCACTATAATCCTGTCCTGTCCGATGACTAGTCTCCATTGAAACAGATATCATTGTTACTAATATAGTGTACTTAAGGAATGTATTAATGAACGTGTTTCCTTCCCTGTGCTGCCAGAGAACGTGTAGGTGTACGGTGAGCGCCCTGTGCTACAGCATGTGCTTGTTTCTTGCAGCGATATAATTTTGCGTGTAATAGAGTAGATAACGGAACTATCGCCCGCGAGCATCTTTCGACCAAGCGAACGACTGAAAACCTGATGTTTATAGAATTTAGCCTTTAAAATATCAAGGATGAATCAAAGTGGTTTTCTTAATTTATATGTTTATAGGTAAAGACTTAATTTTATTATTGTAAAATGTAAATAAGGTTTTAGTAAATGTTATAAGAACTGTGAGGCTCGATTTTGGAGATGTTTGTTCAGTTCTAGAAAATAAAATAACGATGTTTTTGTTTTGTTTATTATGAATTAGACGTGACGACCTGGTAAGACATGCAGGAAGTCGATAGATGCAGGTGACTCAGGACCGTGCTTTGTGGCATTACTTAGGGGAGGCCTATGTCCAGCAGTGGACTTGTGGAGGGCTGTAATGATGATGATGATGAATTACAAAAAAAGAGAGTATTGAAAATGAAAGCTTTAAAATTGTATGCTTTGAGAATGATTATAACTTTTTCAAAGAACTAAAGGAAGTTATTTTTTGCCATCCTTTGGGATGGTCTTTTTTTCCAAATACATATGAGGCTACCCCTGAATTGTAACCTGTTTAATTTAAAAAAAAAAACAGTCTCAATTGGCAAAGATATCGCGTACATACGCACAAAAACATACATTCAAATTGTCCTCTTCTTTTTGAAATCGGCTAATTAACAAGTGGTATAATTAAAAAATTTGTACAACCGACATCAATATAAATAAAATGAGAACATCCAAACGTAGTAGAAGTCAATTTAATACGCATTAAATTCAAAAACTACTGATCAAATCTTGATTAAATTTATATGTGACCACATAAGATGCACCAGCTTTCAAATAAAAAAGGATCATAAAAATCATATCACATAAAAATCGAATCACCCAGAATAAAGGTCTGAGGTAACACACATAAAAAACATAGAGTCGAATTGAGTACCTCCTCCTTTTGAAGTCGATAAAAAAGCGAAAATATGATATCAACATTTTTGATATTAATTCGTAAAGTTCAATATGAAAATAAATAGTACTTATTGAAAAAAAAATATGAAAATAAATAATATATATCTATCTATTGATAAAATAAAATACTAACGCAGGCCTCATTTAAATCAACTTACCAATACTATTAGGCTGAGAGTCTCCTTAAATCGGTAATTTCCTAGCGTTTTATCTATAAAAAAACGCTGTTTGTTATGGAGTAAAACAATAGTGAATAGGCTTGTGTTAAGTAGTGAACTTCAACATCTTCGGTAGCATCACCGCTTACCATCACCACTACCATCAGGTGAGATAGTAGTTAAGCGCTATCTTAAAACATTAAAAAAAGCGTTAAGAATATTATTTGCTTCTTACCACATTTTTACCACGCTTCCGTGTACATAATATGTCTTTTCGGGTATAAAGTAAGCAATTGATTTTAAACTAGCTTGGCGATAAAGCTAGAGACAGAACATAGTTCAGAATCCGATGACAGTGTAAGAATATGAAATATACTTTTTAGTACATTTTAAAAACGTGGTACATTTTTTTAATGTATAAACTATGTAATTATTTTTGCTTATATGACTGCGGTCGCACGGATCGTTTAAATGATTTTTAATCTGCATGCTCTTCTTTGTGTTGTGCTTGAACAGGTTTCCGTTAAATTGTAGTTTTAACATTTAACGTATGTTACATAATCGTCACTTCGTCACCGTTCGATCACGCTCAACTCAACTTCATTGTTGTTACAAAATTCATATTATTTGTGGACGGACCTTGAATTAACATTTAATATTTTATTTTCTAAATATATGTTGGACTCATATTAGTTAAGAACATATATATTTTTTGATTTCTATTCTAGGGACGTACGTTAAAACACGAGATTACAAATTAATCAACTACGGAATATTTGGCGATGTCAAAGTTAACCCGGAGTACCTTCAGCTTTTTTAATTATTGTCGTTGGTCCGATCTACGCAGAATGAACTAACTGTGTTTTGAAGTCTTGCAGTGGTATGCTTGGGTTTAGTTTTAATTTTATTAATTATAGAAATCCAAGCAGGTGGTCGTACCCAGCCTCCTTCTCTATTGAAATTAGGATGTTTTTTAATTTCAATAGCCTCACGTATCATCCTTGGTTGCTGGGGCCCTTGAATCACATCGAGCCCCGCCCTGGCTAGAAGAGCCTCACTCCAAAAACAGGGTCCGGGGTGTCTCGGGACTGCAATCGTTGACGTCAGAATCGTTGCACTCAATAGTTCATGGGTCCTTACTGAGTTTATTTCGATGAAGCTGTAAAGGCCGCAGGACCAAAGCCGTACACTTTCAGAAAAAAATGTTTATCACACGGAGCGTTGGCCGCTCCCGGGGCAGAACACCTTGCCCGGCGGGAGATCTCCCCTTTTCCCTTCCTTCGGCCACATGTCTGTCTGTCTGTCTGACTGGACTAATATTCGGAGTGGCTGAACCGATTGTATTGAAATTTTACGAACAGATGTCAGTAATGTCAGGAGGGATCTAGGCTACACTTTATCTTTTTTATTTTAAAAACGATAAATTGATAAAATAAATGGTCTTTGTTTATTTGAAATATAAATAACGCTACATTAATTTAATAGGTGATTCTTATCCGGGCGAAACCGGAGCGGGTCGCTGGTCCAAAATACATTTAATATAAGTAATACATTATTTTTGGATATCTCAATTATTGTTAATTAAACTGTAAGCTCGTTCTGCGTAGTTCGGACCAAAAATTATTATTTAAAAGTTGAGGTAGCCTCCGTTAACTATGTTATCAGGACTTCAAACACCTTAGTCCCGTGACCATGGGCGTTAAGTGCCTGAAACGTCGGAAATTAAAAATTTAAATTATGTTAAATAAAAATCCGCAAAGTTAGTCACATTCCGTTCCAGTTCTTATAAGTAATTCTTTGTTTATTAAAAATTCAAATGGTTCGACATTGGCCCAACAGCCAACGCATTAAAAACGATGGTCAATAGTCAAAAACATAGAATAGAAGCTAAAAAAGGCGACAGTTATTAGAGGTGATAATGTTTTACTACGTTATTGACCGCCTTGCTTGGTAGTCTAGTGGTCATAAACGCGATGACTAGATCATGAAGTCCCAGGGTCGGGACAAAATAATTTTTTAGGTTTTCTGTCAAAAAATTCTCGGTAGCAGCCGGGTGCCAGGAAGTTGGCGGTGTCTCACCCCCGTGCTTCGGAAAGCACGTAAAGCCGTAAGTCCTACTCCTGATCTCTAATAGCCCATCTGACTATGAGAGTGAGGGACTAGAGAACGCTCCGGTGTTTGCGCAATACGTTCGGGCGCTATAATACTTTCCTGTGCTGGTGGCTAGTCTCCGATCAGACTGGCCGCCGTGACCGAAATTCGGTATCGACGACATTTGTTGGACTTACATCCGTTTGCGCATGTAAGTCCAACAAATTGATTGGTTAAAATGGCAAGTAAAATACGAAAATGATTGCAACATTACTATTACAACCTTAAAAAGTCGACTGATCAAAGGATTCCCCGATAGATTGTCTCATAGGGATTTTGCCATAGTTGCCACGCTTGGTAGGAAGGTTTTTTATTATTTTGAAAGCAATATATGCGCAAGCATACACACTCGTGCACTATAATACTAGTCCGTAGAAACTGGCCGCCGTGATCGAAATTCAGTCTGGAGGTCATTAATTAATGTTAATACTGTTAACTCGACAATAAGATAGATGTTGAACGGATAAGGTAAACATGATAGATCTATAACGGATAAGGAAAACATCGTGAAAAGGTTGAATAATCTCTAGTAGTTTATGGATAGATAAATAAAATAGAATTCCATACGTTTGTTGTTGTTATAAGCAATTTATAGCTACAGTAATTTTAAAAATGCCTTCGTGCTTTGTGATTGAACGAAGTAAAGATATGACAACGAGATTAGTAGTCGCTCTTGCATTTATAAAATGTTTTATATTTTTATTTATTCAAAAAACCAAGGTCCATCGCATCGCGCACTCGCTCATTCGTAATAGTTTGTTCAATTTCGGCGCTTGCTATAAATCTTGGGTTCGGCCAAAACTTAGGTTCATTTTGGCCGATTCCGAAGGTTTCCCCGAAGCCAAAGTTTCGGTCGGACAATACTTATATGCATAATTAATGCACAATTTACTTATTTTAACACTCACGCGATGTATAGAACCTTACTTAAATAAAGACTGCTGTAAATGTGTTTCCTTTTGTCTTCATTGTGTATCGTCCTATATCAATGTCAAGTATATTCATTGTTAGATGCTTACATGTTAATTTATTGTTATTGGAGAATTATATATTTTTTTTAAACACGCTTTAGCATGTTTGTTTAAGTGAATGTACCACATGACATGTATTACATGCACTTTTAAAGTATCGGTAGAATAATGGCAGGGCGAACCGCGAACTCAAAAGGTCGTGGGTTCGAATCCGCCATTCAACTTCTGCCGTGAACCACTTTTAACATAAGCATTTTAAACTTACCAGGAGTGGTTAAAGGGAATATTAGTAATGTTATCAGCATTGCATGCATTAAAAAAAATTAATTTCACAAATGGTTGTGTGGTTTGAAGTTCATACATAACAATACGCTGCCGTAGGTCCGAACACGCCGGGCAAGTTCATCGTGTGGTTCCGCAATGAGACCACGCTGCTGGTGCTGTGGCAGCCTCCATACCCACCTGGAGCCTACACGCACTACAAGGTTAGTTCAGACACATATAATGTATTTTTTTGTATATATATGTACGTTAACACTCGTAGTTAATTACTCTGTAACTCGCAATTGGGGGATCACACACAGACTTTTCATTGAAGTCACAAGCCTTCCAACTGAAAACCAGAGCTCACTTTGCAATATTTAATTTGAATATTTGTCTTTTACTATTAATTAATGATGCATATAACTCGAATTTGCGTGCTTTTTATTTCTAAGGAAATAAAATTTGTAATTAGAAATAAAATGCAAATAAAATCATCCGAAATGTAATTTGTTATAAATTTTTACCACAAAACGTCCAAATTAATGGCACAAGTAGTTAATTTGTCTTAATTAAAGGAAAATCTTTCATTGAACTAGAATCCTTCGTCCAACGTATCGTAGTTGCAGCTCTTGATTTCTGCTGAAGCTCGGTGCTTGGCTTTGCTTGGCTAGATTGACGCTGCGACTTATTGAATGGTACGGTCGGTGTCGTCCGGACAAGCTGAGGCTGTATTTGAGTGGACGGTGGCGGCGCAGACAATGGAATCTGTTTAGAAACACCTTTTAACTCCAACTCCTCAGATTCTAAACTACTACCACCACCTTCGTCAGCTTTGTAGTATATATTATTCACATCACTCCCTGCATAAACAATCCTAATATTTCTTCCATTTCCGCACTTTTTAGTCGTTTCCTTGCAGATTTTCGCGATGTACTGGGTATTGTTGATCTTTTTAACTGTCTTGTTTTGTCAATCATTATAAAAAAATAAAAATGTTCCAAAACAGAAGCCAAAAATACCGAAAAAACAATAAATAATACAAACAAAAACAGACTACACCGCACTTTTTCGTTGAGTGAAATAACAAGCGAGTTTCAAGTAGAGGATGCAGAACCGGTCCGTATCTAAGAACCGGGTTTTTCGGTTCCTGGTCCATACAGAACCGGGTACCCGGTTCTTTTCGGTTCTTAATAGCAAAAAATTCTTTAGTACAGAATAAAACTACATTAATTTGGTGCTAATGATGATAGTGATATGTATTGTATTTAATCAATTAAATGTGTTTCAATTCTAATTACGTAGGCCGCAGTGAAAGTTTTGCGTAACTTATTAATTAAACTAAATTTATTTATCTTATTCTATTTATTATTATTTTTTTAAATCTATTTATTAAGCACTCGTGTGTAAAAAAAATCATTCAAAATTCAAACAGTTCTGAGAAACCAGAAGTGAAAAACTTTCAGTATGCCCCATGTGTTATAAAATCATAATATATTAATAAAACAACAAAAAACCAGCTTGTCTTTTGAGCTTCATACAGATAAAATTTAGAAAAACAATACAAAGAATTAAGGAAACAAAATCAACGAGATTTATTTTCTTATAGTCTCAGGATTTTCTGGTAATAATAAAACAAATCAACACTCAAACAAACAAAAATAATTAAATTTAGTCACCATCAACACTTAATATTTATTTTAGTGATGAACATAAGTCAAATTAAAAAAATAGCTTAAATTTACCCCATTGACCAAGAACCGGGTAGAACCGGGTATCATAATTTTGGACCCGGTTCTTTTAGCTAACAAGGAACCGGGTATACCCGGTTTTTTTCGAACCGGGTAGAACCGGGTGCATGCTCTAGTTTCAAGCTTTCAAATTTTACGCGGGTTCTAAATCAATTAGAATTCTAAATCAATTAGAACCCGCGTAAAAGACCAAATAGCTGACGTGAAGCATCAACGTTCCGGGAAGTCTGCAGTTTGTGATCGTATCCTGGATGGCCATGGAATGGTCAGGCCATTACATCATATTTGATAGACCACAAACCCTCGCGAAAGAACATCGATTCCTACCAAGGATGATACGAAATTAAAAAAACATTGTAATATGTTTTCGAAATGTTTCTTATTTTTCAGACATGTAGGAGGTTTTCTCACGATGTTTTCCTTTACCGCCGTAAATGGTTGTGCTAAATCAGCCCTTTAAATTGCATTTAACAATTTTATTGGTGTCGGCGGGATCGAACCCAGGTTGCACGCGTATTGTGAAATTTACAGCGAGCGCTTAGCCGGTGAGCTACCACGGCTCTGGGCATGATATTTTGCTCTGTTATTTAACTAAATTACATATAGATATATCTTAAAATGAAAATATTTATTTGTTAATACCATATGTATTTACTGATATAACTGAACTTTTGCAGGTGTCGATTGAGCCACGGGACGCGCGGGACTCCGAGCTGTATGTAGAGAAAGAAGGCGAGCCTCCCGGACCTGCACAGGCCGCATTCAAGGTAACACCTGGATTCTGCACAAGTACAATTTCAGCAATCATCTAAAGCTACAGAATTGCACCGGTGATCAAGAACAAACACATGTATGTGCCTTATTATTATTATTAAAGGTTATTTTTCAAAGAGTATTAAAATTTTGTATTTAAGTTCAAATTTATTAATAACAATATATCGTCATTGCAGTCTTTTAAAATATGAGTAAACTAGCTTGCCAGGCAGACGTTGTTCTGCTCTTTTCGACGACCCTTTGTCCTCTTAAAAATGTGTCCTCTAAAAAATGTGTGTGATGTCCTCTTAAAAATCCTTACGTTAGCAAAAAAATTATGGTCACTCATGGGCAAAAAAAACTCCTATCTCTCAAGTTGGACCAAACTGCACACGGTGTGCAAATTTGATTGAAATCGGTTAAGTAGTTTAGGAGTCCATCGCGGACAAACAACGTGACACGTAATTTATATACATTAAGATAGACTACTTCTTTTATTTGAAATTATCACAAATTGAATGTGATTTATGGGCAACAATTACGCGCACGCGCGCTCCTCTGTGTGCGATTCAATTCTCAACGTTTTTGCCAAAGAAGCGACGCTTACGAATGCGTGCGTGCGTGTCCGAGTCCCTCTCCGGTCGTAAAGGTCTCCGTTCCACTAGGTTCAGGGAGACAAAGACGAGTATGTGCACCTGTCCGCAAATATTCATAATCTCGAACAATTCTCGAAAAATTCTCGAGCAATAAGAAATTACCGAAATATTATGAACAGTAGGAGTTACTCTTAACCTTGTTATATACATATAAAAAGATGTGAGGAAGAGTAGATGCCCCAATGAGCATATCAATGTCCCCAGGGATGGAGTAAGTGTCATCCGCTAAAGTCAAATTATTGAAATTGATCATTGCGGTGGCGAAAATAGTTGGCAGACGTTCGGTCACTTTGTCTACAACTATTGAATTTATACTAAAGTTAACACTGCGATCGAAACCCGATTAAAATTTTTAATTTATCGAACCTTTAACTGTTTTATTGAAGCCTCCAATTCCCATCATTACGGCACATGAAGGCGTCTTATTTGCAAATAATCCTAAACGTTGACAACATTGATGCATTATAAAATTACTTTGAGACGCACTATCTAACAATGCACGGACGCTAAGTTCGTTTCCATGCGAATCCTTAACTATAACGCGCGTGGGTATCAAGAACAGTAGTGGGAACGCGAGCAATCTCTTTCACGTTCGACAGTGAGCACAAAGTATCATCGCCCGAGCGCGCGTGCGGCGATGCCAATCGGGAGACGTGAAGTCGATGCGATTCAACTCCATTGTTGATAAGACGTTCGCGTAGGCCTCGGTGAGCGAAGCGTCACTCACAGGTTTACTCAACGTGGGTGTGGAATTATTTTCAAAATGTAGCATCGTATGATGTCTACTGCGACACTTGACACACTGAACTAGAATTACACTTCGAAATACGATGTTTTTAACTCAAATTTAAGCACAAATTATTAGCCTTTACTATTTTATACCGCTCGCTCGGTGAGCGCCTGCGAAAATTTGTACAATTATATAAATTACAATGTTGATGAGTTTTACAAAAGAAACAGGCATTGTGCGAAAATGACGGTGCGGTGTACACATATTATGTTGGCGATTTCGTTGGCGGCATCGACGGTGCATCCGTTCGACAGTCGGCGTATTTTTTTACATCTTGTTTTGCATTAGATGAACGTTGCATTATTTTAATTTGGTTTCGCATGAATGATAATAAGGCATCGGAAGAGGGTTTGTCGGAGCCACGATTTTCCATTTCTAACGAACGTAAGGTGTCCGGGTCTCTCTTTTTAACGCAATGTGTAAAAATACAAAGTCCATAAGATCATTAAATTTAAGAATTTTGAGAGCGGCTACCGACGTTGCAAATCTATCTAAAAATTGTTCGAGATTATGAATATTTGCGGACAACACAGCTTTAAGATCGAATATTTGGTCTAGCCAACATTCGTTTATCTGACACAATCGTACTATGTTCGCGGTCGGTGTGAGACCGGCACACACGGATTGTCCCTCGCCACTTTCTTTGCCAATTAAATAATATAATTTTTAGCGTCCGATAAAGAGGTATTATTATGTATAGTATTATGAAAACTAGTAATCAATAACTGCCAAGTTTCAACATCCATAAACATAAACACTCACGCCTGTCACCCAGAGGGGTAGGCAGAGACTACGGACTTCCATTTGGCACGATCCTGACATACCTCTTTCGCCTCCTTTACATCCATATATCTACGCATACCTGCTCGTCGGTTAAGGGTACTTCTAACGTGGCCCCTTTTCAAAATATCGCCAATTTGGTCGATAAACTTTTTTCTAGGGCGTCCCTTCCCGACTCGGTCGTTCACATCTGCCAAATAAATTTGCTTTGTCACTCCTTCCTAATTCATTCTTTCTACATGTCCAAACCACCGAAGCATTCCTTTCTTAATCCTGGTCACAACATCATCTTGCATACCACATTTATCTCTTATCACGCAATTTCTCACCCTGTCATTCAGATTCAACCCTAGCATACTCCTTAAAGACTGCATTTCTACAGCATTTATTCTACTTTCGTGCTTCTTCTGCCACACTCAGCTTTCACTACCATACATTAAAGTAGGGACTAACACAGCATTATGAATTACCATACGTAATGGTTTTAACATCACCATTAAATATTGGGATATTGATAGGTCGTAATCCAGGTGCGTCGCGTGAGTGTACTTGAACTGCTAGCTTTACGTCACTCTGAGCTACGGGTTGGAGCCGCCTGGCAGCTCGCTTCACGTGGCGTAATAAATCCTCAAACGACGAAAGCGATTGGTAATTAATAACATAATCGGGATCAATTTTTTTTTCAAGACTATTAATTTTGTCCAACAAATTTTCAAAATCTGAGCGTTATCGATCTATAGTTTATATTTCATACAAAAATGTTTCCTAAACGGATTCTAAATGAATATTTTTTGCATAATCACAAATATTGTGCATACGAGAAACAACATGTCTTTTTTTGCGTAAATACTTTATTCCATTTCATTTGTATTTACTTCCATTTTCGTACAAAATAATATCAAATCAAAGGAGAGAATCGCGTAGCGGTGGAGAAAAGAAAATTAAACGGCGTATTTATTATGTACGAGTAGTTTACTTATTACCCGGCACTGAATCTGTTCCAAAACAACAATAAATCAGGAATTGTTTAGCAAGTGACACATTACTGTTTAACGAATTGATATTAGATCATCATCATCATTACAGCCCTTCACAAGTCCACTGCTGAACATAGGCCTCCCCCAAGTAATGCCACAAAGCACGGTCCTGAGCCACCTGCATCCATCGACTTCCTGCGTATCTTACCAGGTCGTCACTCCATCTAGTGGGGGTCGCTCTACACTACGCCTACCGGTACGAGGCTGCCACTCGAGAACCCTTTTTCCCTATCGGTTATCGGTTCTTCGAGTTATGTGGTCGGCCCATTGCCACTTCAGTTTACTAATCCGTTAGGCTATGTCGGTTACTCTGGTTCTACTGCGGATATCCTCATTTCTGAGTCTATCACGCAAAGAAACTTCGAGCATAGCCCTCTACATAGCTCGCTGAGCAACCTTGAGCGTCCTCATACGGCCAGCAGTGAAGGACCACGTCTCAGATCCGTAAGTCACCACTGGCAACATGCACTGGTTGTAAAATCTAGTTTTTAGAGATTGAGGTATACCTGACGAGAAGATATTATGTCGTAATTTCCCGAACGCTGCCCAGCCGAGTTCAATCCGTCGATTGACCTCTCGGTCGAAGTTGGACTTACCTAGTCGGACTATTTGTCCCAGGTAAACGTACTCGTCAACAACTTCAAGCATAGTGCTCCCAACAAATACCGGCATAGGTGTGACATGGACATTAAACATAATCTTTGTTTTGTCCATGTTCATCTTAAGACCTATCCGTTGGGAAGCACTATTGAGGTCATTGAGCATAGTGCTCAATGACCTCCCGCGATATTAGATCAAAATACTTTAATACAAGCAAACTTCTTATGCAGGTACGTACACGACGAGATGCAAAAAATTCCAACAAGAAGCGCGGTCGATTGCACATTGCACGAAAATGACAAATATGCAAACGAAATAAACGATTTATGCGTACGTACACGTAGACAAGTCGAATGTGATTGTGGGCGATATAATACGACGACTATTTGTAGCGTGCACTAATGAAATCAAATCAAGTGTTTATGCGGGAGAACACTAGTATAAAATTCATATAAAAAATTACGAATTGCGGTGCGATGTAAGTAAATAGACATCTACTGCGGGGACGAACTGAATAAAATAGGCGTCTATGTACCCATAATAATACGAGTGCTGCTACTGAAATAGCGTACAGTATCCCCCCGGTGGTGCGAATCGAAACTAAAATCTACTAAGGAACTTAGGTACGACTAAACCAAAGCATATTGTCCAAATTTCAGTTCAGCAATTCGACTTGATTGGGCCATAGGTTGTTCGAATCCTGCTCGAAGGACAAAAAGTATGGGTGCTCGAAAATGACGAAAGGTCGATCAAGTGGACTGTATTAGCGTAAAGATCCACCAGTATCTAGCTCCCCCCTACTAGGCAGGCCCGTGCGGGGAAGCAACGAAAGCGAGGGGAATTGTGCCAGCCAACTCAACTAATTAATGCAAATGCAAGGGTGTGCGTTGGAGCAACCTATTACTATTGGGATTGTAGAGTTGATGTGGGATTGAAAGTGACGTGGTGGGTTGGTGGTGTTGTTGTGCGTGTGGGTGAGCTGTGCGTCTGTGCAGGGGCTGGTGCCGGGGCGCGCGTACAACATCTCGGTGCAGACAGTGTCGGAGCCCGAGCTATCGGCGCCCACCACGGCGCAGTACCGCACCGTGCCGCTGCGCCCGCGCAACGTCACGCTGGATCCCCGGATGCTGCGCGAGCGTTCCTTCCGCGTCTCCTGGTTGCCGCCCACCGACCACAGGTACCAGTTTACAGTGTATACTGCGGAGCTGGAGCTCAGGCGCAGTACCGAACCGTGCCGCTGCGCCCGCGCAACGTCACGCTGGATCCCCGGATGCTGCGCGAGCGTTCCTACCGCGTCTCCTGATTGCCGCCCACCGACCACAGGTACCAGTGTACAGTGTATACTGCGGAGCTGGAGCTCAGGCGCAGTACCAAACCGTGCCGCTGCGCCAGCGCAACGTCACGCTGGATCCCCGGATGCTGCGCGAGCGTTCCTTCCGCGTCTCCTGCTTGCCGCCCACCGACCACAGGTACCTGTGTACAGTGTATACTGCGGAGCCAGGGCTCAAGGCGCCTCTTCTTCTATTACCTCTTAAGACAACCACGGGCTAACATCTACTTAATATGACACATTTTCACATAGATTGTTTAAATTTGTTACAATCATTACTTTAAAACAAATTTAAGCGACAGTAACCATTACAGAGCGTGGACCACAAACTCAAAAGATCGTGGGTTCGAATCCGCTATTCGACTACTGTCGTGAACTTCTTACAAGTATTTGAAACTTACTGGGCGTGGTTGAAGGAAATATTAATAATGTTAGTAGCATTGCTAATGTTTCTTTTATTAAAAAAAATTTAAGATTAATAATTTGTCCGTTTTCATTGATTGTAACGTGTTGTGTCCCCGACAGCGAGTTCGAGAAGTACCAAGTGTCGGTGGCGCTGGCGGAGACCGGTGGCAGTGGCGGGGGTGGTGGTGGGGGCGGTGGGGCTCGCAGGCTGGCGCCCGTGGTGCGCGCGCGCGACGAGCCCACCACCGCCGCCTTCGAGGGCCTGGAGCCCGGCGTGCACTACACCGTCACCGTCAAGACCATGTCCGGCAAGGTCACCTCTTGGCCCGCAGCCGCGGACTTTACCCTCAGTGAGTATCACCCCCTCCTTCCATATTAATAACCGCTTTTATGCACCTGCAGCATTAAAGCCGAACATTAGTAATTACAGACCAATTTCCGTTCTTCCAGCAATATCTAAAATTCTGGAAAAGTTACTTAGTAATAGATTACTCAACTACTTAAATAAATTTGATATATTAGCACCCACATAGTTTGGCTTCAGACAAGAAAGATACAGTAGCAGAACAACTCGACCACAGTAAAAAATGTTTGTCGGTCTTCCTTGATCTGAAGAAAGCATTCGACACCGTCCCAGTCACCGTCTGATATATTAAAAAAATTGCCTAAATTATTCTTTATCCTAATAATTGCAAATCATTTTTCAATCAATGGGGAACAGCATCCACTAACCATCAGCTGGATTGCGAGCTCGTTATCACCCTTATTCTATAAAATAAATCGATAAATATGGTATGAAAGATGATGTGACCAGGATTAAGAAAGGAATGCTTCGATGGTTTGGTCATGTGGAAAGAATGAATGAGGAAAGAGTGACAAAACAAATTTATATGGACGCCCAAATTATCGACCAAATTCATATTTTGAAAATGGGCACAAAATACCCTTATATGCGAGATATATGGATGTAAAGGAGGCGAAAAGTATGTCAGGATCCAAATGGAAGTCCAGCCTACCCCTCTGGCAGGCTGAGTCTTTATGCATTATATGCAAATCGATAAATAAATAACAATCTATAAGCTTACAGTAATGTTATAAAGTTTATTTTATATGCGGTTCTCTTTCTAATAGGAATACGCTTTATTTTATTAAAGGCTTTTGAAATTAAAATGAACGCCTATGCCATGGAGTCTTTGACAATAGTGATTACGATTTGTTGCGCGTTAGACGGTAGATTTAGCACTTTGTTTACTAAGCGAGTGCTTCACCACAATCTCACATAAATGGTGATGAAGCCCTAGATGCTAAATTATACTGGTCTTAGGGTAAAAAGAGTCTATTTACCCTTGCATTGAAGTCGCCCGGATTGTATTCGGATGTAAGACAGACGCCAGCAAATTATTCCACTCTTGCTGTACTCATTACGACAGACTAAGCAAACCGTTTAGTTCTAATGCGTGAATAGCGACCACAAAGGGAAGCACCGCCGATCGCTTGATTGTCCGATAGTGGAAAAGAGAGAGGGAGGAATCAAAGCACTTAAAGTAATGTACACGGTGTGTGGTCTTGCAGAGCCGTTGCCGGTGCGCTCGCTGCGCTGGCACGAGACGGGCGAGGGGGAGGGGCGGACTGAGGGAGGGGGGAGGGGTAGTGGCGCACTGCTGGTTAGCTGGGAGCCCGCAGACGGCAGCACGCAGGACGAATACAAGGTACCGCACTACTTTACAACCTTACTAAATCGATTTACACTTACACATATTTCAAATGCATATTGCCAAACACCTTTTTCTAATTTACCACCCTCACAATGTTAAGCTCCTTTAATATAAGCAGTAAATTATAATCATTTATTGTCTCTAACTGAAAACATGTTTTTAATGATATAACATTAAATCTTACATATTGCAAAACCTACCACCAATCCTGCTCTAAAAAACAACACCTGTTTACAAGAATGAAACTGAGTTGATTGTCACCCTACTCGAGCATGTGATATAATTCAAAAAAAGGAAGGATTTTACTTGCCATTCAAAAATAGTTATTTTAGGAACACTTATAATTAGTAAAATTAAATAGGTATTACACCCATTTTCAAAAAGTGTTTTAAATGAATCCTAGAGTGATAATGAACCGTTATAATTTTTATATAACTTTTTTAAACTGAATCGTGCCATGAAAATTACTTTAATCTATCGTTTTAAATTTTCGGGTAAAAACGCTAGCCGCCATGCTGTTCTACTCGTGACGTCACTAACCCCGAATTTTGCCGATTTTGCAAACGAATAAGATACTTTTTAACGTTTTATAATGAGTTAATCATCTATATCATTGTTGTGTTGTACCTGAATGCAAAAATACGAGCATAAGAACGCCGGGAAAGTTATGGATTCAAGGGCCAACTGATTTTAATATAAGAAATACTTGATTAAAACTGGCAAGAATACATTGTCTACAAAAACTAGACTATTCTTCTGTAAAGATTGTCTTATTACAAAACAAAATATCATGAGGTGAAGGGTATCTCAAGTCAAATTTTGTAATAAATTACGTTAAAACTAAGATATTATAACTAATGATTGCTAATGATTGTAATTATAGATAAACTAAACTATGATAGCTACTAAACTGTTTTATCAAAATACACTTTGACCTAGTATTGTGGTTCTAATATTGATGTTTTAAAATTCCTCAACTCAGCGGAACAAAAATTGGGATTTATTTATCCTTGGTAGATTAGTACGTTCTGTTTTTATGAATTCGTCTTCCATGATGATTCCTCTCCAATAAAATTCGGAATAAAACTCAATAATCGTGATACCTTGCAAATTTTCGAAGTAACACAGCACTTTAGCTATCTTAATCAGTGACACAGAACACTAAAACCCTTAGCAGGGTTCAGTGCCTACACGACAGTTTCTAATATGGAGGATAGCGTTTTGCAGATTTGAGGCACAGTGGAAAAAAATTCTTAAAATTAAAATATATAATTTATAATGCAATTTTATAAATAGAATTCAATATTACTCGATTACTTGTTACAACACCTATCATAAATATATATTTTATGATGTTTTTTTACATGGTGTAAAATACCCTATTCCCCTGTCGAATCGACTCATTCGTGCAGCATGGCTCTATTAATTATATGACCTTTGCGAATGTATTTTTCTAATTTAGTACTCTTACAATGTAAGGTAAGACATTTTGGGATATTCGATTGATGCAGACGGCCAAAGACCGTGCTTTGTAGCATTCCTTGTGGGAGGCCTATGTCCACAGTGGACTTGTGAAGGGCTATTAAAGCTTAAATATTTCAAAACCAAGCAATCCTGTCACACAATTTAGTCTAACGAAGAATGTTTTTTCTTTTCTTTTAAAAATACTAATGAAATGTTATACTATAACCATTACATATCACTTTTGACGTTGTGCTACAAGAATTAATGATAAATTACACAAGTTACAAAACAACGTAACTATTTTGGCTCAAATACCCAGTATAATTTATAGCCCGCAACCCAACTCTTGATTTCTGCCGACTATTTCTTACAAAGTTATATTGTAGACTTGCGAGGAGCGATATCTCGGTCTAAAAACTGATCTTTCTATAGTTAATCCTCTGACACGTTCTTTTTGCTGCCTGATCAATTATTACGCATCCTAACCATCGTAGTCTTTAAGAATTTACCTTTGCTAATTATATTTGGCTTGGAAACTGGCTGAATATTATAGTATATTCTGGACACCGACCTACAAAAATCACATTGATCATATCAAAAGGATACAAAAAAGATTTGTCAAATATCTAAATTTCAGCTGTAACAAGTCTAATAAACTGATTTCATATAAAAAAAGGTTTGTTAACTTCAATCTGATTGAGAAATTTGGTTCTGCCTGACTAGGCACTAAGTTTACACTATTCCATATCAGTCACTGCAGCACAAACCTTAAGTCACACTATTCAATATCTCGTCTTTACAAGATAATCGATTTTGTTTTGTTTTGTAATATATTATAAGTTACTTTAAGTACAAGCTGTGCTAACCTGTAAATAGTGAGGCATTTACTTAGTATTCTTACTAATGTATTTGATTAATTTTAGTGTACTAACTATTGGTCTGCCAAAGTAAATAATTAAATAAATAAACCTTTGACCGAAGCCTAGGAAATTCAGTTCAAGGTTGGCTAAAACTAATAATGTAAATTATTTTAAACTTTTAAAATAAAGACAGTATAATTAATATAAAAAGGTAATTTTAATCATCTCTAAAAGTTGATCTAGGGATCATTAAAATTGCGTCGTCATTCGTAACAGTTCGTTCAATTTCGGCGCTTTCTATAAACCTTCGACTTTAACCAAAGCTTCGGCCCATCTTGGCCAAAGCCAAAGGTTTTGCCGAAAGTTGATTAAGCTGGAGGTTATTTACTGAAATAGATTTTTATATTAAAATAGATATTTATATTGTTAAATGTAAAAACTGTAATCACTTAAACATGTCGTTCACAGGTGTCGTACTACGAGACGGACCCCGCGCAAGGTGACAGCAATTCGTTGAACACACCCAATACCAACGTCACACTTGAGGGTCTATTGCCGGGGAGGAATTACACCATTTCGGTATGTTCCACGATCATGATATAGCAATGTGACTAATTCCAGATATATGAGAAATAGTAAAACAGATCTGTTAACAATCATTTATTACCATAATAAAAAAAGAAACTAAACTTCTCGTGGTAAAGTGCCAAAAACGTTGCGTTTCTTCGCTGAAGGTGAATTTGAACTCAGATAATGTAAATTAGTGGTGTTAAGTCACAACACACTGAAATAAAACAAGGCGTTCCGCAAGGCTTGATCTCTTGACTATTTTCGTTTTATTGTTACTTTGTACTTTTGCTGTCGATACGGCTCTAGATGTTAAATTTGACAGAAAAAAAACACAATTTTAACACGTAAACAATACACGAGTTTGGTTTTAAAAAATTATTTAGCAATTAAATGATAACTATAAATTTCTAAGTACACGAGCAACTCGTGTGGATGTCCGTCGAGTTGCAACTTTTGATACTAATTTACCACATGTTCGGCAGTAAAGGATATCTTGAAATCTGTATGTCTGGGGAATGAAAGTATTTAGAAGACATTGGAGTGGCACATTGAACGAATTGTTCTGGGTATGTGGCTAGCTGTTGGATGTATATAGAGCATCGATATAAATTACAAGATATGGTCATGCGAACTAAAATTTTTGACGGTTAAGCATAGAATAAAACAGCGCCACTCATGAACTACCATGGAACTTGTGTTTCCACTTATTATTTTTATTTTACGCTAGAACTTGTAGATATACTCCCTAAATTATTGTAAAAAAATCGAAATAACCTTATTAGATGCAATAAGCATCTAATTTTCAATATTTTAAAGAACAACATCATTGCAATAACAACATCATGCATTGCATTATTCTGATATAAAGAATGAAAATCTTTTTCATTTTACACTTTTCTAGCTCTTTTGACCCTATACCTATTACCCCCACCCTTCGACAAATCTTTAAAAAAAATTTACATTGGGTGGGTATAAAAACAGGGCTACCTGAAGTTCGATTTTATCCCACATTATCCAAAACAATGTCAACTTGAAGAAACGCCTATATTAGTAGATTTAACCTAAAATAGTGTAAAATATCTAAAAGAGGAAACACTGCACGGACGCACGGCACGCATTGGTGCTCGTGTTGGTGCTCCATAAACATTTTCGCACCAAGGAGTCGGTGCTATTTTATTTGTTCAATGATCCAGTCCATTTATGATAGAGTAGTTTATGATTAATTTGTTTCTTTTTTAATAAGAATAAAGTTGACAAACGAACACATGTTTCATCTGATAGTAAGTGGATGCTGTGGCCCATAAACATTTATATATATTCTCGTCAATGCATTGTCATTTCTGAGGACTAAGATGGCATGGTTTCAGTAAAAAGGGTTTCGATTCTCTTCACTCATTATATGAAACACAGCGGTAGTGTTGCTGTTTTACGCTGATATTTTGTGAGAGCGTGGTACCCACCGTCGAGTCGACCTACGGTTAACATATAGTTTTTAAATTATTTTTTGTTAACCAATCTGATACTCATGCAATAATATTGTTTATTTCGTTAAAATTGTGTTTTTTTTTCTTTTATTGTTCTTAAATATTAGAAAAGTTTCATCAGCAAAGAATACAATGTACAACACAAAGACAAATTTGTTCCGAAAGCAATCCTTGCGAAACGGTTTATTTTATTTCAGTGTGGTGTGACTTAACATCGTTGACTTCTTTTATCTGGATAAGCTCTTTGCGGTACGACGTGATTAATTCGTGCAACAAGCATAATATAGTGGCATCGTGGCTCTAGCACGTATGAAAGTTTGTGACGTGCAGGTGCATGCGGTATCTCGCGGCGTGGAGTCGAACGCCACGCGCGTGTGGGCGGCGCGCCGCCCGCTGGCACCCGAACTGCGCGCCGCGCCGCCAGCCCCCGCGCCGCCCGGCCACACGCCGTCCGCCCTGCACCTCGCCTGGCGCGCGCCGCCCGCCTCGCGCCAGAGCGCCTTCCGCCTGCGCTACCGCCGCACCGACCCCAAGGACGAATACCGCACGGTACGACTCCCTGCATGACATCACACGTCTACACATTGCACACTACCGGACTCCTGCTCTCACTAACTCACACTAACGACAACTCACATAACAACAACCATATGCGCTTGTCACGACGCATTCATATAAGTAAAACCAACATTTTGAAAATAATGAAACACTGTGTTGTACGCTAGTGTTCCACCGAAGGTCGAAAAAAATTAAGAATTAATTAAGAAATTAAATTAAAGATCGGCTATAACCATAGAACACTATAATACATACATAATAGAACGGGGGAGTGGGCGGAGCCCGCGTAGCCACTAAAATGTCACTAACACGTCAATTCACACGTATAAATGTCAACACGAGATTTTCGCATGCATATTATTTAGAAAATGCTAAATTGCACCCCATTTACAAATAAGTATGTATTAAAATTTAAACGATTTTTTTAAATGATGATCTTGAGCATTAATCTAAAGTCTAAAATGTGTTATTCATTCTGTCAACACAGCGAATCGGGTTTGGCGACGCCAAGCCTCGTACAAAATAAATTTGACAGCCATTCTATTGTGTATTATAGTATTCCATGGCTATAACTAATAATTTAAAACTTTTAAATTTAACACTCTTATTTACGGTGTAATATTAAAAACGTTCCATTCTTCGCTCTATCGTAACATATCGTTCAACCTCAGCGGTTAATAGAGACCTTCAACCAAAACTTCGGCCGTTTTTGATCAAAGCCAAAACCAAACTAAAGTTTCGACCGGACACTACCATATAATCATCACCGCTTTAATAACTATAACTCGCCCACTGTTCGTCGTGAACGAATGCATTTTTGACAAGTTCTATCAATAATGTTTGTTTTATTGTTAATAAAAAATGTGTAAATTTTACTTATGCACAATTAAAGAATTATATATTAATTGATGATTAAAGTAAAATATGTTATTGGTAAACGAAGTTACATACAATCAAATACGCGTCATAAATTTTTATGTATTTCTAATACGATTGACACAGCGGTGAATATAAAACTGGTTCGGAGGCTGCCTGCGGGATGACAATTCGTACATTGCACATGTGTTCTGTATTTTCGCTCGCCTAAAACACAAGCTTGCTTACTCATTGCTATTTCTATTGTAAAAATTCTTCTTTATGTACACTGTATTCTATCTTCTTGCTTATATTTTACTTCTGTATTGTGCTTTTGCTAGACTGTCCTTTCTGTGTGCTCAGTGCAAAAAATGTAATATATATTATAACTACATACACATTGTAAAGTAGCGGACCTAAACATACACCTTGTGGAACTCCCGAAACCCCATTACTTCCCCTATACATTGCACTGCTAGTAGTTATCAATTGTAACGACATCGAATCTAAAATCGAACAATGTAACAAACAATATGTATGCGTTCTAAAACATAAACGTGAAATATAGAAATTAAATGTAATCAACTTCCATACATAAAACATATAACAAAAACCATGTGGTTCTCGTTAAGTGCGTTATTAGAATCAGTATTCAAACGTAAAGAAAGATAAATTAACTTCAGAAAACTCGACCATATAAATATTAAAATTAAATTAAAACTTTATTTGCAAGTTGTATGTGGGTTTAACACCTCCGCATTGGCCGGGGAGTAAGAGTATTGTCAAGGACTCCACTCTACTGTAGATAATAAAACCACATATAATTTGCAAATAAAAATATATTCAAAATTAATTTAATGTTTTATGGGCGAGTTTTCTACAAGTTATTTCTATATGTTTGAATAGTGATTCTGACAACACACTTCATGAGAACCACGCTTTTTGTTCCATGTTGTATAATTTATAGTGTGTTTATACACGAATTACTTTTGATAATAACGAAATATTATTATATTGATCATGGTGTTGAAATTCAAAAAAAAATATTTTGTATACTAGCAAGTTACATTTGTAAAAACATTATATATTGTAAAATTAACGCTCGGGACTTCTCTTCCAAAGTTACAAATATCTATTGCAGATGCCGCTTTAATTGACGATTAAAACATATACTTAGTACGTAAAACACAGTAGTAAATAACTTTTAAAAATATGAAGCCCTTAGTGTTTATTTGATAACTTCTAACACTAACATATAGATCTGTACTGTTTCCTAACTTTGTGTAACAATAACACTAGTGTAAGGTATAAATTAATTTAGTGACGGTGTTAAATCTAGATAACAAAGTTGTGATTAAGCAAATATAATTTGGTGACATACATTTGAACTAATTATTTATTTATTTACCCTCACTTGATTTAACCATGCAAATGGACCGTTTTGTGAAGAAATGATCCAACCCACAAAACATGAAGTTATTCAAATTTGAAGGATAAATGCATTTTTCTTGTGACAGAAGTTTTGTTGCAGTTTCTTATCATCATTTTATAAAAGTGTTTGGTTCTTTGGTCTAGAGGTCGTAAACACGACCGGTTATTATGAGGTTCAAATCACCATGTCCATACCAAAAAAAATCAGTTATTGAGTATTTCTGTCAAGAAATTCTCTAAAGATGGTGGTGCTTCACCCCTGTGTCTCGGAAAGCACGTAAAGCCGTTGGTCTTGCGCCTGATCTCTCTGGTCGTGTCGGACTGCTGTCCCATCGGACTATGAGAGTGAGCGAATAGAGAGTGCACGTGTGCTTGCGCATACACTCGAGCAGTAAATTCCTGTCCTGCGCAGATGGCTGGTCTACTGCCAACTGACTGGACTTCTGACTGTGAAACTGGTCGCCATGGTCGTAATTCGGTCTGGAGGACATTATTATTATTATTATTTTATAGAAAATTTAAAGCAGATTTTAGGTATTATTTCTTATTGTTCAGAAGTCTCATATACTTGGAAATAAACTAAACGAAGAACTTCTGTATCCTTACTTTAGCCGGTTTGTGAGTTGGAGCTGCACAACATGGTCCAAATACATAATAATGTTTTAAACATTTTCTAAAAATATTAGCAACAAGGTGTTTATAGTGGATATCACTTAAAGTAGAGAGATATACCAAAACAGCTAATTTTATTAGAAAATGTTTGTTTGTTGTTTAAAAACAGAGAATATGGTGGCGGAAGGGTGAGAACTGGAGCTTTGGGCTGTGTTGCACATTTTTGTAATATAAATTTGGTGTTGGTGAAAAAAAAAACAAATCGTAAAGTTCACTTTAAAGCTATAAAAAACCCGCAAATAGTTTACCCCAAAATCAAGAAGTATATAATAAAAAAACTATAAAAACTCAGGAAGTTTTTAATATGCATATTTTACAAACATATATTTAAATTAGGTTAGATTCCCCAGACTCATTACACCACTTTCTTACAAGCGCCTACGATTTTTTCTGCCGAACGCACCCAATGCTTCATTTAAGTGACAGTAACCTAATGGCAGGCTGCGGACCGCGAATTCAAAAAGTCGTGGGTTTGAATTCGCCCGCCATTGAATACTGTCGTGAACCACTCTAACAAACAAACATTTTCAGTTTACCAGGAGTGGTTAAAGGGAATATTAGTAACGCTAAATAGCATTGCTAGTTTTTTTTTTAATAAAGCTAATGCTTCATATAGTCTGTGTTACAACGATAGGTATATACCGGGTGTTTGTGAAACGCTCCCGTAAACGAAGACAGATGAGTACTAATGATATGACAAAAAGAATATCGATCCCGATGAAAAAAATATTGTTTTTTACAACGTGTAATTAATTAGCTTTATTCACGCTCTATTATTTTAGCATAGCTAAATAAAACTATAATTTCATTAAAAAAATCATGAAAATACTTAACCATAAAAACAGCAGTGAAACTTAAAATACCTAAAATCAACTGACAAGGGTCAATATACGCTTTACCCGCGATCGTAATAATTTACAACACTTGTCTAAATACCTAACTTATCTACTTAACCTTCTATTTTGTCACTGTGTTAGTCTGCACCTAGCCACTTTAATTCGTTTAACGTCACACGTTAAATAAACAAAATATCTGGTTCGCTAATGAAAAATTTACCTAAATAAAATGACTTTGTTCGGTGTCCATACATCGTTGGCCTAAGAACCAACAGGGAGGTGAATTCACTTTTTGTGTTTTAAACAATGTATATATTCGATTGAAACTAAATTAAAACTACGAATACTTCTGAGAATTCTAAAAAGTTAAAATACTTTTAGATTTTGAGGTTATAGTTAGGTCAATTAGGTCGAAAGAAACACATTGTAAAAATGGCCTATGAATCAACACGCATGAAACCTTTCCAATAATTACTAGGTTTTTTTATAGTTTACATTACATTTATTTCAATAGAACGAACACTTCATAATTTCGAAAACATTTTAAAAAGTAATTTTTGATATTTTTGACATTGTTCTTTAACAAGGATAGTGTCATGCTTTTTATCCATCGTGTAGGTATGTTTATTATTCTGACATAATCAGTTATGTACCTATTCAGATCAGTTCAATACTAAGTGATTTTAAAAAAAATTAGGTATGAAACAGCTTACCGATCTAATTTCTCCGTGGCCTTATGAGATGTGGCTCAAATTGTGCCCGATTCATTTTGAGGCAGATTTGGGCTCGACGTTTGATCTCCGCGTGCAGGCGGGGCATCATCGTGGGGTCTTCGACACAGTACGCAAAAAGTTTTTCGAAAACATCCACGATCCCTTGGCGCATTTCGTCAGCACTATCACACTCACGATTAAAAACATTTTTTTTCACATACCCCCACATAAAGTCTAACGGGGTCAGATCTGCGAGGTGGCCAAGCGTGTGGTCCTAGTCTGCGATTATGAAATAGCTCGGTGAGGCGCTCGCGGACGAACCTCATGACATGTGAAGGTGCACCAACATGCTGGAACCTTGTGCGGCGATATTCAGCCAACGATAAGTCGTCTAAAATGTCAACCATTTGTTCATTTATGAAGTTTAGGTATCGCTGTCCGTTATGTCGCTGTGGCAGAAACACTGGTCCTAGAATGCAACCCT